CCCCAGCCACAGAAATGCTGACGCGTGGATGCCTATTGGTCCCGGTTAGTGCCACCAACCGGGACCAAAAGGTCTCCTGCCTGGGCTCCGCGCACAGGCCACGTGGAGGCCCATCAGTCCCGTTTCTGGATTGAACCGGGACTAAAGAGTCAGGGCATTAGTACCGACCCAGGACAACAGGCCCTTTTTCTACCAGTGCTGCGTGACTGACTAGTCTGAAAAATAAGCATTCCACACCGGCGGGCACAGCAAAGTTACCTGTAATTAATAAGAAACTTAGTTAATTAGGCACGGGGAGTAGTGCTTCTTGTCGCATCCCATGTCTCTCTTCTCTGGCATTGCCAATACTTGTTAGCAGCTGAAAACTTCATACATACTGCTACCTACTTGTAACTTTTAGATGCAGAAACTATATTTTTTTTTCTGCTGGCACATGTATGGATGGATGGATTCTACAGGGACAGGTGTGCCTTTCCCAATAATTCAGGCATCGATCAGTAGCAGTCAGCCAGGCCAGCCTGTTCTTCTTTGTTCCATGAGCAGTAAGGAGTTAATAAATACAAGTGGTTTTTAGGTGGAAAAGATACATGCATTAATCTTATCAATAATTTATGTTTACCTAGCAAACTAATTAATTACAAGTTAAAAGGATTATAAATTGTTGAATCATACTACTACGACCTACTAAGTCCGTCATGGTTTATAAGTCGATTCCTCCTTGTAGTTTGGGTCAAACTTAGACCTTTGATTTAACTATAAAAAAATAAGTTATATACCCTAAAAATAGTATCATTGGAAACCTCTTTTAAATATGAATACAACAATATAAGTTTTGTGACATACAACTTAGAATTTGTTAGTCAAATCTAAGGTCAAAGTTGGGTACAAAATACCAAGAGAACCAATATACCTGGACGGAGGTAGTAGCTAGCAGCACCACCTGTAGGACTAGCTAGCTAGCACACAGGTCTAAGTGAATTCGTCATAAATTATAGGAGATGATGATGATGAGCTGTAGAGTAACTGTCATTTTTATTTGAATTTTCACTGGGGATAGAGTTTTCC